ACTATGTTATAAACAATGAACAGCACTGTCAGATTGGGACACATGTGAGGCACTCAAATAGGGAGGAGGAGTTTGAGGATCAATTTCCAGCACTTCCATGTCTTTTATCACTCCTATTTCTGACCTTTCCTTTGCCACTTTTTGTAGCACTGCCATCACTGGCAGGTAAAGAGGCAGCAATGTGACTTGGCCGTTTGGCTGATGTGGCTTCATTTCCCAGCACTGGAATGAAAAGGCACTGGAAGAGGATCAGCTGGAAGATGTGAACTGCGGTCCTGGCCTGTGCCAAACACTAACCAGGTGACCCTGGGTTAGGCTCTTAGTCTCTCTGGGCTTCCGGCTGTTTACTTATAAAAGAAGGTTTTGTCATTGCACAAATATATCCAATATGAAATGTAACGTGAAATTCAAACATAATGACGTCTCACCTGCTTGCCTCAGGGAACTGTACAAGAACTGAACACTATGTGAATGTAAACACAGTCTTAAGAAAACTATTGAGGTAAAGCGCTAAACTGAACATGGAAGTAAAGTTTTATGGATTTTCTTGGCTTTCTTTTTTGATTGCAACACTGAATTAACAGTTATTAGCTATAATCCACACCACCACCCCTGTGAATAAATAAAGTAGGTAAGCACTGCCTGGGTGCCTGTTATTGCCCGATGCTAAGCAGGGTGAGGGGTATAAAGGAGGCTGAACAAGTGAGTCTTCTCCAGTTACAGCTAAGTGAGGAGACACATTGGAAACCACCCAGGAATGGTACCAAGTCAGAACTCAAAGCCAAGATTACAGGCTACTGATCATAAACAGTGCAGGAATACAAAGAGGAGCTAGAAGTATTTGGAATAAATAGGGAAGACTCTATTAAGGGGATGGGGCTCCAACCAGTTCTGAGGGCAATTCTAATCTGTTTTAACTGAAGACTGGATAGGAAAAGGCTGGTGACTCCTGGTTTTTAAAAAGGCACAGGTTACCCTAGGAGGCTAAGTTACATAATGATTGGAACACATAAGGTAAGTCCAAAATGATGAAGGGTCGAGACTACCTGGCTGAGATCTGATTGTGGTAAGTCTTTGACTTGACTCTAGATGTTGGAGCATCAAAACTGTAGGTTGACTGAAAGAGGGGGGAGAGAATATCCAAGAATTCAGCAGAAGGAAAAATTCATGTATCAGGGATGAAAGCTCTTCATCAGAATATCAGCAGTCAGTATAGACACTTGAAACCAAAAACATACATTTCCAGAAGCCGACAATATGTGGAGGGTGGTGAGAGAAAGATAAATCAAAGGCCATTCTAAGCCTTTGGGTATTCAAGACCGGAAGAATGATTATTCCACTGAATAAGTGGAGACGCTGCAAGAAAAAAGATTATGAAATCAGCTTTAGACATGTTGAATCTGACATATGAGCTAAGAGTAGGTTTTCTCTAAGAAGCTCAAAATTCAAAACTGAAGCACAGATCTAGAATACAGGCTTAAGATGCAGATGGACAAGACATGATAAATCTCTTAAAAGAAAACATAGGCAAAACATTATCTGACATAAATCTTAGCAACGTTCTCCTAGGGCAATTTTCCCAGGTAATGGAAATAAGACAAAAAAATAAACAAAAGGGACGTAATTAAACTCATAAATTTCTTCACAGCAAAGGCAACCATAAGTAAAACAAAAGGAAACAACAACCTACGAATGGGAGAAAATATTTGCAAATGATACGACTAACAGAGCCTTAATTTTCAGAATATATAAACAGCCCATGCAACTTAATAACAAAAAAACAACAACTCAATCCAAAAATAGGCAGAAGACCTAAACAAGCATTTCTCCAATGAAGACACAAATGGCCAATAGGCACATGAAAAAATGCTCGATATCACTAATAAAACGAGAAATTCAAATCAAAACTACAATCAAGTATCAGCTCACACCAGTTAGAATGGCCATCGCTCAGAAATTCATGAATGATAAATGCTAGAGAGACTGTAGAGGGAAGGGTACCCTCTTACACTGCTGGTGGGAATCCAGTTTGGTGTAGTCATTATGGAAAGCATGGAAATCCCTGAAAAAACTAAAAGTAGACTTACCTTATGACCCAGCAATCCCACATCTGGGTATATAACTGGAAAGAACTCCAATGTGAAAAGATACCTGCAGCCCAGTATTCATAGCACCACTGTATACAATAGCCGAGACTTGGAGGCAAGCTAAATGTAGCAACAAATGACTGGATAAAGAAGTTGTGGCATATTTATA